CGTCCTAACCGCTATACCACCGACGCCCGGTATAATCTCTAGTTTAGATAAATGAGCTAAATACTTTCGTTATGCCTTCCTTTATTACACATCTGCATTTGACTCTGATCCCAGGTCTCTCTTGCTAAGTAAGCCTGCTGCAACACAGGCTGGGAGCTGAACAAATAAGTGGCTGCATTCCTATTTTTCTGATAGGAAGCAGTACACCGTCTACAATGGAAAGTCCTCCACTACCTCACTTTAGCTGGTGGAAATGGTTACAACATGTGGATTGCATAATGCATAATTTTGGAAAAATGAAGAGCAATTAAGGAATAAGCGTGTGCACAGGTTGATTACGTAACAGATTGTTAAAGAAAATAAAACAATTTGGACAATGATAATTTGTAACTAAAGTTGAAGTGGTCATAAGAATAAAATAATTTTTACAAGGATAACACGTAATTAAAGATGAAGTAGTGAGAAAAATGATTTGGACAATTATAGTTGTTGTCCAAATTATTTTATTTTTCTGACTACTTCATCTTTAATTACGTGTTATCCTTGTAAAAATTATTTTATTCTTATGACCACTTCAACTTTAGTTACAAATTATCATTGTCCAAATTGTTTTATTTTCTTTAACAATCTGTTACGTAATCAACCTGTGAACACGCTTATTCCTTAATTGCTCTTCATTTTTCCAAAATTATGCATTATGCAATCCACATGTTGTAACCATTTCCACCTTTTAATTATATATATTAATTTTTCTTCATTAATTATCACCCCATTGACATTTTGACACCGACTAATTATTGTTAACAAACAAATCGCCACTTGATTGGTAGATTGTTGTGTATTGTAATTAAAATGCTATATATATTAGAGTAGAGCCAGAGATGAGGATCTAACTGAAAAGTAAATATTTCTTCGCTCAATCTTTCTCTTTTCTAAATGTCTAAATGGGGATATTTTCTATATTGAAATCTTCGTAGCCACTTTTGTCAAGTATGCCGATGACCTCTCTGTTTCTATGCCTGTCAACTCTCAGTCAGATTGTTTCAAATTAAATAACTTCCTGTCCGAAATTAGTCAGTGCTCCTCTTCAAACGGACTTAAGCTTAATCCGTCTAAATGTCAGGTAGTCAATTTCACTTTCAGACGTAAACGTGACCTACAGCAACTAGTTAGCTCACATGGCCCCACTATTATTGACGGCACAGATGTTGAAAATACATCTAATGTCAAGTACCTTGGGCTGAGTTTTTCCATCGATCTTTCCTGGTCCTCCAACATCTTGCTAGTCACAAGAAAGATGTTTCGCTTAACGTTCTACATTAGGAAATTTAGACAGTCTGGCATAAAGCAGTCTTTGCTTTCTCAGTTTTTAAATTCTTGCATTCTACCCATCCTCCTTTACTGCTCCCCTTTAATCTTTCCTGGACTACTTAAGAAAGACTTTGCTTCGCTGAGAAGGGCACTAAAAGCCGTTAGTAGGGCAAGTGGGATATCGTTAAACCAACTGGTTAACACTATAGTGGATAGACATATTATGTCATGTGAGAAACTAACGAATACAATATTGTCGGACCCCGAGCATCCTCTCTATACGCAGCTGTCTCCTTGCATTTCATCTGGTAGAACTAGAAGCAGCTATAGGCGGCTATATGCTAGGACTACCAAATACAAAAACTCCATAATACCATATCTGGCACAGCTGTTATGTGATGAGAAATCCGTTAGGTATGACACGATCAACTTACTGCGGCACTCTAACAAATAGTTCCCATTAGTTTTTGTTTTCCTTTCGTCGTTACTATTACACTGTTGTTCTCATCTTCTATCATACATCAACTTTATATTTCTTATCCTGTGGTGCATTGTTTGAAATGCAAAGACGCTACGCTGTTTCTAATTTTTATTTATCCTTTATTTTTTTGGTGTTGGTTTTTTATTTATCTCTTTATTTGTTTTTTGATTTTAAAAAACTTATAATAATTTATGAGGTAATTAGATGCAATATATATTGTAATGCAGGCTGAAAATTCCATACCTGTACCACAAATACCGTTTGGAATAAAGCTGTTATCATTATTGTTAAATTATTATCTCGAGTTAGTTTGTAGGGATTTGATTTGGGTTCAGAGTTGACCATCACGGAATGATATGTCTTAAGGAACCATCGTAAGCTATCAAGAAGTATTTCGGGACAGCTGTTCCATCCTAGCTGGAGACGCATCAAGTGTCCAAATCTGTCAGTGACTAAATGGTTTAGGAGCTTTCCTTGTAAACAGAAGGCCCTGAATTCAAACCCTTGGGAGAGGAGAGGGGGTAAATACTGCCAATGAGTTTCATACTAGAATAAAACAGCTGTCTAGTACTCCGTGGTAGGTTTCGGTAGTTTTCTAAATGATATCAATCTCATGAAGTAATATGAGTACTGTTCACGGTATAGATTCATTTTGCCTTTTTCTATTGATCACACTTCAGTGATTAACAGTTTACATTGTAACACCGTGTTCCAACATGTAAATGTGTCAAGACTGATGAACAGACTGATTCACACTGATATAAATGAGTCAAACGTTTAGACAACACTGACAGGTAGAGCACAGATAAAAATTCTGTCCTACAAAATTTTGGCAGGATGCCAAGTATAGAAATTTAGAATAACTAAGCAGAATTATTATGTTGAGTACTTCAGAAAAACATTTTTCAGGGGGAAAGCAGCTAACTATAAGCTGTCATTAGAAATAAGTTGTTTCTATTATCTCATACAAACTTAGCTCAGAGTAATGCACAGGTTACCTGTCTGTAAGTTTTTGACTGGTCAGTGCTAACTCGAAAGTCTACCAAGAGCTTCAAGATGTTAAAGTGGGTTCTTCATAACCAGTAGGTAGACGAGTGTGCAGTTATGCAGTAAACTAGAATAAATTTATTTCGGTAAAGGCAAACAGAGATGCAATATTATTATTTTCTTGATGGCGTTCTGAGAGCAGTTTACCACTGCTCATAATCATAGCAAGACACTCAGGAAGAATTTAAAACTTTGTTTATATAATTCCATTATTTCTCATTCTTTCGTATTGCTGGTGGTAATATTTCCCTTGGCACTGGCGTTAAACCATTCCTATTGCACCTGTTATGTGAAGATTCAATGAAGAAACATTCAGTGATTAACCTCCCCCACCAACTATCTATATTACTTTTTAAAACTATATCTCTGCTTATTCTTATTGTATGATTGTGTGTGTGTAAATGCATGTATTGCTATTTTTGAGTTTCTCTCTAAACTATTCATCTTTGTGGAGTCAATTACTTCACACTTGGACATTTGCTTATGTTCCAATAATCTGACTATCTCCGATCTACTGGTCCCACCTATGACCTAGACCTCACAGTCATTTTAAGTTCTTTTAGAGGACAAATTATTTTGTCTAGCTGGGTCAGTAGGGTCCCATAGCCTACAGAACTTGCGCCTTAGTGAGTTTACGATTTTAAATGACACCTTCATACCTGCTTAACTATAAATCCTTCATAAAGTTTAAGATATCTCTTCTTTATATGGTAAAACTGTAGATTCCTTAAATGCTATTTTATTCATGTTACGGTCAATAGTTCCACCACTATTTTTCCGTTTTTTTTGACCTTTTGTAATCTTCTTAGTGGATTTTCTTTGGGCTAGTTATTTAACACCTCCGCTTCTTCTATCTGTTTTATTTTATCATTGAAATTCTCTCATGTACTCCTGGAGGTTTTCTTTGCGTTTGTTGGACACTTGACTAAGCCTGCCCATACAGAAATCGGAGGAGATTAATTAAAGTCTAAATATCTGCTAGAGGGCATTGGCTTTTTATAAACGCCAGTGCATTATTCACCCCCCCCCCTTGTTTGTGTTTTACCTGATGATCTCGAAAAGGTAACTTTTATTTTTCATTTTTCAAGTTTAAATTTTATTCTACTCTATCACACCGATCAAGTTCTACTTCTGCATCAATGATACTTGAGCCTTCACTTTTCCGTAAAATGTCACTAACTGATTTCATTTTTTTTTCAATGTGAAAAAACTCAGGCCATATCAGGCAGACTGGTTAACAGCCTCGCCTTGAAACCTGACTCCCCTGTATTCAGTCCTCGATTGTCTCATGGGTGAGTACTGTTGAAGAGTCGTAAAAAAAGGGGAGAACAACTATCCAATAGTTCCCTAAATAATGTCACTTTGTGGTCTAACTTGTAAAATCATCCAAACACTTAGATGTTCACAGGATTTCATCATGATTTGACATCACTTAGAGGAACACTGGGAAACTCGAGAGTATCGGACGTCTGTTTCATCCTAGTTTGAGACTCTTCATCAATATATCCCCACATCCAGGATTCAAATCCAGGACTTTCGGGCTCGAATACCATTTAGCCACTGAGGACCAATTCAATTGCTCATGAATTCTAACTACTACCAATTTTTGTGATAGACAAATGCACCAAATGCTTGGAAAATAGTAAACGTTTAAGCATGAGTGTTCAAACTCGTAAAAACAAATCTAATCCTTACAAACCAACTATCGAAAATGAGGAAATAAGTTCGGTTAATCATATCTTTCTGCTATCATTCCTTTGAGTTCCCATTGGAATGTGCGCCTTCAAATTTGAGATGTGAAGTTTTGGTAGCACTGGTTTTGATCATGCAGTGTGAGTTGCTAGCCTCATGCTCAATACTACATCTTTTACGAGCTTACTACTGCCTTGGCGAGGTTAAAGGTAATGTGTCCGCCGGGAATCCAAAAGGAACCACGTAAGGGGTGATTGACCAGCATCCTACCATTGAACCACTGGCTCACCGTCTCCCTCTGAGATACAGTTAAGAAATGCACTTGAATAACTGTATGTTGGAGAGTTTTTCAAACAGATAAGCTGTTAATTATTTATGTAGAACAGCTTGTTATTGAAATATTTTCATTCTATGGCAGACAGTTAAAATTTTCTTACAAATGTCCTTTTTTGTGTTGTATTGATTTTAGTTAGACCATCTTCAATACTGTCTACAAAGATATGAAATTGAACGTGAAGAGGCTGGACAAGCTATTCGTCGAATTGAAGAACGTATGCAGGAATTAGAAGCTCGAGCAACGGATCTACTTGAGTTTGTAAGTGTATATTCTCTCTTTTTTAAACTATACTTCATAATTCATGAGTAGAAGTGAGATGTACAACTGTTTTACTACTAATGCTTTATGAATTGTTATCCAAATCCATAAATAAGAGCTTGCATAAGAGCTGTGCATCAGTGGCACAGCAGTAGACTGTTCGCAAACCACACAGGTGGTTCGAGGTTCGATCACCAGCCACAGACTCACTCCTTCACCTCGCTAGTCAGTTAATAATACCGCATCTCGTAAAAATAGATGCCGTTGCTATCGAAACCTCTAAGTTCTAGTGTGAATTCCTATGTTCCACTGGGAACGTGAAGTAATAAAGTTTTAAAAAATACGTCATCAATTGGCCAGTGATTCGGAAAGCAGTAGTTCACGAACTCTAACTTCTGTTCAGTGTCTCCATTCAATGCCTTTTTTGGAGGATCTTTCCTTATTCCCTACTTGGTAAGCGCACCTAGTCACTACTCCTGATTATTATTATTCCCTGATGTTTTGAGTAGAACAATAGGGCCCCAACAGCACATCTCCATTTCTCCCTATTCGCTACAGTCATCCTTAGTGGTCTTCATGTCTGTACATAAGCTCTCGCATCTTCCCTACATGATCTCCAACACGTCACCGTCGAAATTACACCCATTTCATCACTTCCGATTCAGGTCCTACTCTAGCTATGGCCTGGTGCACGATGCCACTCAACGGTGTCCTCAGTGTGAGTCCATTCCACTTTCATTTTTTCCTAGGGCTTTTTATGTGATGCGTTTGTGATCAGCCCTGGTTATATAACGGCTAGATTGTAACGTGATCTCTTCCACATCAAGTTATCATGACCAACTGTGTACAGTAACAAAGAGTCACATGCTGATATTAAATAACTGACTAGTGTTTACCAGGTTTCACTGATTCTCCAGTTGATGTATCTGATGAATATACTGGAAGTGATCAAGTTCATTAAGAAAGAGACACTTCAGCGTTATTCTCAGCCGCCTTGGTAACTTCATCACTGTTAACATAGTCATGGAGTAATAGCATGTGAAGTTGCTGAGTGTACTATAGGCACGTTAACGTCCTTATTTGGAAAAAAATTCAGGGGTTTCTACAACACATAATTATCGACTGAGTTCTTACAAAAATTGATGTCGGCATAAAACTATTTGTAACACAGGAATAAGCACCATAAATTGTTTTTAAAGCTTTTACTTCACCACTGCCCAGAAGATCGAGTTTGACCTTATAAAACCAGAAATTAGATCAGTATGGATCTGATTATGTGAGTCGCTTCACACGATAACTAACAGTGAAGTTACGACTAAAGTCATAAAAAATCAAAATTGTTACTCAATGCATCAAGAAATTCATGTGTAAATGAATCGGCTTCCAGTGGCTTGATAGTCTATGAGTTTGACCTTGTAATCAAAAGGTCCCGTGTTCGATGCCTGGCAAAGGAAGCATACTGTCGATGAGCCGCGAAAGATTAGGACGAAACAACTGTCCAGTACTTGCTACATGGTTCTCAATGCTTCTCAAACTGATATCAGTCCGTGGTGGTCAAACTTATAACAAATCGAATTCCTATAAACTAACCCTTAAAAGCATAAAGTTAACCGCATTACTATTATTAGTAGTAGTTGTTGTAGTATTGTTCCCTTGGATTCCTAGTGGAACATGGGGCTTCAACTGCACGTCCCCACTTGCTTCTGTCTTCTGCTGTCCTCTTCACCTGCATACATGTTAGTTAGTCCATACTGTCTCAACTCCCCTTCACACGGTCTCATCCATGTCACCCTTCGACGTCCCACTCGTCGCTTCCCTTTCGAGTTCCACTCGAGTGATAGCCTGACGCAAGCGCGATGTCACCCAGCGGCGGCCTCCTCAGCGAGTGTCCAATCCATCCATCTCCACTTTCTCCTCCATATTTGTTGGTTGGCGATTGGTTCTTGTTTTGCTTGTTCCTTCCTTCCCATAGTTTCTCGTTGGTGATCCTTTCCGGCCCGGCCATCTGATCTTCAGTATAGAGCGATAGCTGACAGTTGTTGGTTGATGAATGTCTGCAACAGGCTGTTGGAAATATTCTTTGTGACCCGCCTGCCAACTTTCTGGTCCATATAGAACAGCTAACTGACTTGACGTGTTTGTATTGAAAATCCGACCGAATTTTGTTGTTGATGCTGGCTGAGTGACGAAGATTTCCAGATTAGATTGGTTTCAGGTTGATATGAATGTGTTTCTCGCCCGCCTTCCTGATTCTTGCTCGATTTGACATTCTTGTCCGTTCCGACTGCCTGTAGTTGAGAAAAATTAACCACGTAGTTTAGAGAATTCTTATAACACAGAAACAAAGTCTAATGAAACATATCAAAGCCCACTTGGACATGCATATCTTCAGGACAGATAGCTCGTAGATGAAGGAATTTCATATAAATTTCTTCAAAAGCATTCATTCTTGCCTTCTTGTCTCACAGTGAACAACAAGTTTCATGCACTAAACGCGGTAATAAAACTGAACAACATTTGTGCGTTCAGTTACAAAAAGACAATATCATTAAATGTTGTTTTGCGGTACAACCATATGGTACTAAGAATTTCTTGAGATTAATTACAAAATACCAAAATCCGAATGACAAAATGTCTATCTATCTATGCGTACTAACCAACTAACTAACTAACTAAGTAGGTAGGTAAGTAACTTACGCAATTACTGATAATGTTAACTAACAACTATAGAAAACTAATTTCCAATTTGGATACAGTCAATTAGTCCTTGTCTATGTAACAAAGTACTTTAGTGATATCGTTTATCTTGTTACACGCACACAGACATATGTATACATTGTTATCAAAAGAGTGCGAGTATGTTTTTAGTCTTGTTGTGGGGCTTTGCAGTATTTCACTGTAAATTAGGCTATCCTAATAATATAAAATGAAAGTGATACACATTTTCTTTGATACTGGCGGTCAGATCAGTTTACTAGATTTTCAAAAATTAATTTGTAGGGATATGTTTAGTTTCGGGTCTGGTGAGGGGTTGGTAAGTGTCAGTGACATAATTATTGAAACCATCAGGGAGTACTGAACAGCTGCTTCATTCTGGGTTGGATCGCTTCGATAGTAGACTCAACCGCATCAGAAAAAGAGCCTTCAGGTCGCAAGGCAAGCTAGTTGCTGGTTCAACCATTCAAAAATTAATCTGATGCTTATGAGTGACTGGCTATAGAACAACACTGTATGGCGTTTTAGTTAGAAGTTGTCAATAGTAGGGAGATGACAAATACTCGCTGATGACAGCGGCTGTCAATCTCGCTAAAATTGTGCATCAACATGGAGTTAGAATTCATGGGTCATTAAATTCCACCTCAAGTGACTGAAAGTTCAGTGAGGTTGGCCTTGGAACCCAAAGGTCCCAGGTTCTATTCCCGATGCCGTCGTGGGTGTTTACTGCTGTGCGTCAGTAAGACAGCGGTTAGAGAGCTCGCCAACCATGCACATGGTCCGGGGTTCAATCTCCGGTCGACGCACTCCTTTACCCCGCTGAGCCAGAAATAATGCTGGTAAAGAGGAAAGGTTGAGCATGAGGCTAGCAACCCCATTCTATAAAAATAAACGCTACCAAAGAAACTTCAAGCCACTAGCTTGAGGCCCTATATTCTACTGGGAACATGAAGGAAAAAAGTCCCACGCTTGTACAAAACAGCTGAACACTACTTCCTGGTGGTTTTCAGTGGATCTCTAATTGACGTCAACCCATGAATAAATATAAAACAAATCAAACCTTATAGACCAACTCTTTAAAATCTCGTAAACTAAGACCCAACAGGAGTTAACTATGTATCAGTTCGTTTTGATAACCTGTGACCGTGTGACTGCGGCTTCTGACGTTGCCCTTCCACCCTATGAATCAGAATTCAAGCTAAATGCTAATAGATTGGTTTTTTCGGATAAATATATGCCTAAGATTGGACATCTGGATAGCCTTCAGAAGAACTAAAGCATCGACTGAAGTAAGGGCACTAATTTCAGTAAGTCTTCTTCTATTGAGTGAACGGAACAGAACAGAAGCTTTACACTCGTTTCTGTTTGAGAGGCACTAATTAGCTGACCACAAAGTTGAAAAAAGAATTGAAAAAAAGGAATCATCAAGTAGCTAGTCTGCAGTTTAATAAGGTCTTCAGTAGTGAGTAACCGCCCTCACTCTCTTCGTTATAGACCTTACTAATCCTAGTTCCACTCCCAGCTTTCAACAAATCCTCTTCGAATTTATTCAGTGATGGAGACTACTTTCTAAATCAGTCAAAAGGTTTGTTGAGGATTCTTAGTTGTGAACAGAAGTGGTTTTCTTTACTAACCAAAGTCTTAAAAATCAGCTGGGGTCTGTCAAATCAGCAAATTTGGAATACTTGGTAAATCGGATACCAATGGAAATCAATAATATCGAGGATTGGCAATAACTGAAGAATAAGTGGTATGTAAATCTCATCGCAACATTGACTGAACAGTCAAGGGGTATTCCGCGGCAGCCTTAACGTCGCACAGCTTGCTTCTGTTTTGAGTAAATGTGGTTGTGCGTCTACAACAGAAACGGATTGAGTGGTTCTCTGGTGTACATAATGTTCAGCCATCATAAAACCCACCTTGAAAAGTCCTGTTGCTTGATAGCACACAGTCATGCAGACAACTTTTAAGACACACTTCCTTTTATAATTGAAATCATTCTGATAGGATTCTTAAGTGTGAAATAATAAAGAAATGAAAACGAGGATACAAATGAGTGAGGACACATGACTAATCACCCTAACTAAAGACAGCATGCCAGACTGTTCGTTTTGCTATTCGATAGTAACCACTAACTACACTGTGCATAATTTCAAGTATTGATTTTCTGGAAATTGATTGGCTCCAGGTTCGATCACGAATTGACATCAGTTAAAGAACCACTAGAAACCCTCAGGAAGTACTGGACAACTGTGTCAACATAGTCTGTGACTCTTCAGCGGTAC